CCGGAGCGCACTGCTTGCAAGCGGGCTCTGCAGCACCCCACGGCCGCGCTCGAGCACCCCACGCCGGGGCCGGCCCGCCCACCCGCCTCTCCCTCCCCGACAGAGACGGTGCGCGCCATGACCCACGTCATCAACCAGGGGATGGCCATGTACTGGGGCACGTCGCGCTGGAGCTCCATGGAAATCATGGTAGGCCGGGCCGGGGCCGCGGGTGGTGACGGGGACGCCACAGGCCCTGGCCGCGGGCCCCCTTGCGAGCAGCTGGGGTTCGGGAGGGGCAAAGCGGGGCGTGGCGCCCCGGGTGCTGCCCTGGCCCCGTCCCCACCTGTACTCTGGATGCCCCGGCCCTGCCGACGGGTCCGGGGCTCTCGGGCCGGCACTGCGCCTCACCGAGGTCCGGGCCCGCGGGTGCAGACGCGTCACGCAGCTGACCCCGTCGGGTGCTCACGGCACCGCCGCGTCGCTGCTCTGCAGACGAGGGCAGCGGGCACAGAGAGGCTAAGTCACACACCCGCGGTCACACAGCGGCCTCAACGTGAGCCGGCGGCTGGCCCAGGCGTCCGCTCGCCCGTGTCCCCCGCCACGAGTCCACAGCCGCCCCGCCAGGGGCCGTCCAGGCCGCACAGCCTAGATGTTTCGGGGGATTTCTGGGTGTCTCGGGAGGGCACTGGCCAAGCCCAGACCCCTCCGGCCCTAGCCTGCCACGCCCAGAAGCCCCTGCGGCGGGGGTCCCGGAGGGGTGCCCCTCTGGTGAGTTCCAGACTTCAGCTTCATGGGAAAGTGAAGCAGCACTTTGCTTCCAGCAAAAACGCAGCCCGGGGGCCCTGGCCTGGGGTCCGCCAAGGCAGCCGGGGCACGAAGGTGCGTTTGCATCTTCCTGAAGCTGCCTGGAACCAGCAGAGCTCTCGAGGTGCCTGTACGCCCGTTCTGCGGATGGGAAAGCTGAGCCCCGCTCAAGGGAAAGGGCCCCTCGGCCTGCAGACAGGCCTCGCGGGGGTCTGAGCAGACGGCAGGCCTGGGCCCTGCTGGACCCTCCCCCCGGCCGTCCGGAAGCGGGCCCTAATCTCATTCTCACGGAGGGGGACGCTGAGGCTGCAGGGCGAGCCCTGCCCGAGGCCGCCACCAGCCCTGCCAGGAGCTGTCACAGTGCTCAGCTGTGCCCCCCCCCAGGCCCTGCATCCTCTGGGTCCCTCCGCACCGCCATCACCCCGGGAAGTTTGGGGGTGGGGCAAGGAAGGCACCCAGCTAATTCTGGGCGCCCTTGTGTCCTGGTGGCCCGGGCCCCGCGCTGACGGCAGCCCGCCCCCGCAGGAGGCCTACTCCGTGGCCCGGCAGTTCAACCTGATCCCGCCCATCTGCGAGCAGGCCGAGTACCACATGTTCCAGCGCGAGAAGGTGGAGGTGCAGCTGCCCGAGCTGTTCCACAAGATCGGTGCGCCCGCCTGCCCCCCGCCCCTCGCTGCCTCTCCCGCCCCGCCCCGGCCCGGCGGGGTCTGAGGCCTGGCTCTCCCCGCAGGAGTGGGCGCCATGACCTGGTCCCCGCTGGCCTGCGGCATCGTTTCTGGAAAGTACGACGGAGGCATCCCGCCCTACTCCAGAGCCTCCTTGAAGGTAGGGGCTGCGGTCAGGCAGGCCCCTCAGCCCTGCACCCCTCTTCTGCCTCTGCCCCCCTCCCTTCAGAATTCACACCCTGGGCTGGTGCGCCCCCACCTGGCCAATCCCCGAGACTGGGGGCTGCCAGCTGCAGGGCTGCAGCTGTCAGTCAGAGGCCTGTGCCAGCGCCACCCCTCGGGTGTGCCTCCTGGGGTCTCCAACGCGGGGGGAGGGGAGCAGAGCCCAGCCCGGGGCAGGGCCGGCCGGGTTGGTGCTAGAACTGGCTTCCAGGCCAGAAGGGCCTACGCCCGGGAGGCGCGCCATCCTGGGAGCGGGGCGGGACGAGGCCCCCAGAGCCCAGGGTCCTGCTCCTCCGAGGCTGCCAGGCCTGGGAGAGGCGGGGCGGGCCCGCCACCCCCCAAGTGCGGTGAGTCCCATCCCCCAGCCGCTCTGGCCAGGTGTGGCCAGGTGTGGCCGGGTGTGGCTGGGGGGCGCTGCCAGGCTCTGAGTGGCCCAGGCCCTGCTGTCTGGGGAAGGGGCGCAGAGGCTGGGGGCCGCCCTCACCTATGTGCTGCCCCTCCCCAGGGCTACCAGTGGCTGAAGGACAAGATCCTGAGCGAGGAGGGCCGGCGCCAGCAGGCCAAGCTGAAGGAGCTGCAGGCCATCGCCGAGCGCCTGGGCTGCACGCTGCCCCAGCTGGCCATCGGTAACGGGGCCGGGGCACGGCTACGGGAGAGGGGCCCCCCCAAACACCCGGCCCTCCACCAGGGAGCCGGGGCTCCCCACACCTGCTCCGGTCCCCCTGGGGCCAAGTCTCCAGCCAGCACTACAGCCCCTGCTGGCCAGGCCCCCTAGGCACACCCCTCCCCGGGCCCCAGGGCACCCCGCTCACCTCGGTCTCCCGCCCGCAGCCTGGTGCCTGCGGAATGAGGGCGTCAGCTCGGTGCTCCTGGGGGCGTCCAGCGCAGACCAGCTCATGGAGAACATCGGCGCCATCCAGGTGAGCGGGCCGCGGCCACCCGGCGGGGGAAGGGTGGGCGGCGGCTGGGCAGGCTGTGGGGTCTGGCCGGCCTGGGGCGTCCAGCTGGGCGGGCAGGCGGCTTGGGTGAGGGGTGACCGGGCCTGGGGGTGAGGCCCTCACCGGCGCGTGTGGCCCCCTCTGCTACTTTCGGCTCCACGTTGGCACCCCCCGTTCAGCGGCGTGGGGTCTCGGGGCGCCCGGCCTCGCAGATGCCTCGGGTGTGTCGCCTGTGGAGTGGCGTCGGGCACTGCTGTGGCGGGGAAGGCAGGTCTCAGACAGCCGGGCAGGGGGTGTGGCCGCCTGGCACCCTCGGGCCGCCGCGCCCCGCCAGGCCCAGCTGGGAGCCCTCAGGCCGGAGTCCGCGACCCGCTGGGCGCAGTGACCATGAAATTGGAAATTCAAGACAATTCAAGACGTGAGGGCGGAAAGTGCCCGGGGGAGCCCCGGGGCCCGGGGGGAGGGGGCTGTGGCCCAGGTGGGCGCGGGAATGCCCCCGCAACAGGAAGTGGGCATGAGGGCCAAGGGGGCGCAGAGCCCCGCGGGCTCTTCCCAAGCCCTTGGTGCTTATCGTGGGTGAAGCCGGAGACGCGACGGGCTCGGGGCAGAGCAGCATGGCTAGGGGCCCCGCTCCGGCTGCCGACTGCCAAGCCGGGGAGCAGGGGGGAGCGGGGGCTTCTGGGAGGCGGCAGCAGTCTGTGGCCGGGGGCCGCCAACAGGTCGGGCCAAGGCCGGCTTCGGGGGAAGGCCTCCGCCCCCGAGCCGAGGGAGTGGTGGGCAGAGCGGTCCGGGAGGGTGTGGAAACCAGGCGTCTGCATGCTTGCCACCACCAGCCTTCCAGAGGGTTCTGGAGCCCTCTGGAGCGTGGAGAGGAGAGCACCGAGCAGGCCAGAGTGCAGGCGTCCGCTCTACCCCAAACCTTCTGAGCTGCGGAGCAGCGTGGGCCCGGCTTCTGCAGCCGCACCCCAAAGCCAGGCGGGCCGCGCAGCGGGGGGCGGGCGGCTCCTCTCGGCCAGGACTGTCGGCTGAGCGCTGACCGCTCGCCTTGTGCTCACAGGTCCTTCCCAAACTGTCGTCTTCCGTTATCCACGAGATCGACAGCATCCTGGGCAATAAACCCTACAGCAAAAAGGACTACCGGTCCTAAGAGGCCGGCCGCCGCCCGGACACTGGCGCCTCCCTCCTCGTCCGTCCGCTCGCTTAAGCTGTTGCAAGGCCAAGTCCAGCGTGGCTGCACCCGAGAACAGCGCCACATGGCCGCGGAAGACCTCACTGTCACCCGAGACCCCTGCTGCTTCGCAGGGCGGTGGCGGGTGGCCGGAGGTGGCTCCGTTAGCAAGGACGGTCAAGCGCCCGCCCACGCCTCGCCTCTGCTCGCCCTTCCAGAAGAAGCGCCCCCGCTCCCGGCCGGCCGCGCCAGCAGCCCAGGCACAGACACGCCTCTCCCTGCCCAGCCGCCTGGTGGGGGGAGGGGAAGAGGAGGGCCCTGGGCCCTGGGGCGGGGCAGGGCTCCCCTGGACAGCCCTCCCGCTCCTGCTGCCCAGGGCCAGGGCCCCGGGGCTGGCCTGACCGCCCGCCCTCCCCCAAGGGTCCTGTGCCTGGGACCTGAGGGGCCTCCGCGGCCCTTGGCCCCCACCGGCGCTGGCAGGGCCGGGGTCTGCAGTTTGGGACTCCCCAAAAGTTTGGGGGGCTGAGCTCACATTCACTGTCCCACCTCATCCCTCCCTGCACACAAACGATGAGCCGGACCCTTGGCAGGGGTGACTCCAGCCGCTGCCTCCCTGCCGGGTGCCCAGTGCTCTGCCCTCACCCCGCCCAGCTCGTGCCTGCTTCGTGGCCACACCGGGGCTCGGGCTGATAGCCGCAGCAGGCACGCCCGCCCGCCTGCCTCTGCTGGGCTCTGCCCCGTGGGCGCCTGGGGGCCCTCCAGGGAGGGAGGATGGGGGTCTCCATGCTGCAGCAGGGCCGGGCGGGGTCTCTGAGCAGCAGCCACCGTCCCACTGAGCAGGCAGGGACCAGGGAGAACCCCAGACAGCTGCCCCTCCCAGGCCTCAGAGGGGGTGAGGCCCTCTGTCTCAGGGGGGCTAAGCAGGTGCTCAGAGCCTGGCAGACGGGGAGCCAGGCCCTCTCCACTCCCCCCAGCGGGTGGGGTCTGCCACCTCCGGCCCCAGCCCGCGCCCTGAACAGGCCAGACCTCGAGGGGGGACGAGCAGGCGGGACCAGCCCGTTGGCAGGGGCCAGGCTGTGCCTGCCGCTCCAGGGCCCCCTCGCGCCTCCCGCCACCCGGCCCGCCCCGTCGCCCAGCAGCAGCAGGCACTGTGGACCGTGCCTGGCCCTTCAAGCAGCAGTGTCCGGGGCCCCCACCATTCTCCGGGACTGCCGGCCGGTGCTGGGGGTCGGGTGGGTGGGCAGCTTTAAGCCGCAGAGGCGGGGAGCAGGACAGCTTCTTTCACTGCAGCCCTCTGTGCTGACCCTGGCTTCCAGAAGCGTCCCTTCCTGCCCACCAGGCCGGAGCTCTCCGCCACCAGTCTCCTGCCGGCTTCGGAGCTGCGCGGAGGGTGTGGACTGCCTGCCCCAGCGGCGCCCCGGCCCGGCCCCGGCACGCGAGTGCAGCTGGGCCCCACCTGCGGGCCATGCTAAGGCGCCAGCCTGCCCCCTGCCAGGGAGAGCCGCTGTCCCCCAGTCCTGCCCAGATGGACCAGGGCGTGGAGTGGGGCCGGGGGCTCCCCGGCAGGGAGACCAGGGCCCCGGGGTGAGCTCGGCTGAGGGCAAACACCCGACGCCAGTACCAGGCACGGCGGGCCGAGGGCAGCCTGGCTCCGGCGTCGTTTTCCAGACCCACTGGCAGGGACGATCGGTGCCCTTCCTGGGGGTGGGGCTGGTCATTTGGGGGGGCTGGGGGGGGAGGGGACCGGTTAGGCCGGAGGGAAACCAAGGGCTCAGTCTAGAATCCGAGGGCTGAGCAGGGCTCGCCCCTGGGGGCGGGCGCCCTGGTGGGCGGCGGGAAGCTCAGTCTGCCCTGGAGCAGAAGTGCGAGACCTGGGGTGGGGTCCGTCTTCCTCGCTCAGACATCTGAGCCCCGAACCCACCCACCCCACCGCCAGCCTGCGTCCGGGAACTCGGAGGGGCTGTGGGCGACCCCGCCATGTAAATAGCGCTTTCTCGCTCCTCTGGCTCTGCCGGCCGGCTACCGGCTACCGCGCCCCACCAGGCCTCCTGCTTCCAGCGACCCTCAGCGGACACTCAGCCTCCGTATTTATGGAATGACAAAATAAAGCCCAAGTTCACCAGGCTCTCTGCGCCCCTCGTTTCCAGGGCGTTGCTCCGGGCCAGGCCGCCCCTGCCCACCCACCCCCGCCCCACTGGAGCTGGGCCCAGGGGGGTGGGGAGGGCGGGCCTGGGAGGGGCAGCGGTTGGGGGCCTCGTGGTCAGAGGCGCCCCCTCCTCCCTCCGAGGGACTCAGAACAGCAGCACCCCGCTGGGCCCCCACCCAGAGGCGGCTGTACCCCCTGGGGATAGGGCCCTGGCCCAGGGAGGCCCCCTGGCTCCCTGGGGGTCAGTGTTTCCCCGAGGTGCGAGTCCAGGGTGCTAGTAGGAGAAAGGGGACCCCCACAGGTCTGGTCCAGTGGGAGGCGGCGTCAGGCGACCCCCCTCCCCCGGGGGCAGAGAGCAGCGGGAAGCACTTGGGTCGGTCCTTTCCCAAAGGGTTTATTAAAACACAGAAAACCAAGACGCACAGTACAAAGCAAAGGGGATGGCGGTGGCCGCCTCGCGGACCCCACGTCCTCCTCGACGGCCGGTCACGCTCAGCCCGGAGCTGCTGCAGCTCAGCCCCCAGGCGCCCCCGACAGGCCCCGGCCCAGCCTCGCGCCCGGCCGGGCCCCGCTCATCTGCAGATGGGCGCCGGAAGCAGCCCGGGGGCTCGGCCCCAGGACAGGGCTCAGGACACACACACACCCAACGGGCCCTTCTGGGTTATCGCACCTAAAAAAATACTTTGTTTAAAAAGAATCTGAAAACTGAGAAAAAATCCAAAAACACAACGCCAAGAACTTTGGGCTGATGTACCACAACCGGTAAACTTCCAGAAATATAAAACGGGAGGGCCGCCCTCCTGCGCGGACACGGGGGTCACAGGCCAGCGCGGGTGCGGTGGGCAGAGGGCCCCCGCCAGGCCTGGCCTCTGCCCGCCCCCACCAGGCCCTCCTCACCCAGCTTCTGCCGCCCTCTGCAGCGCCAAGGGACCCTGCCCCAGCCCCGCCACCCTCTGTACCCCGGGGCCCACCCAACACGGGGAGGGCCCGGCCTGGCGGGGCCAGAGGGCGGAGGCCAGGCCTGGCGGGGTCAGAGGGCCCCCGCCTGGGCCGCAGAAACCAGGAGCTGCCGGAGGGCGCTCGCGGGGCGGGGCCCGGGCAGCACGGCCGCCCGGCCCATGCCACAGCGATGCTCCCCCAGACTGCGGCCCAAAGGCGGCTCAACGAAGCCCTACTCGGCACTGCTTTAAATAATAAGGTGGCTGGGAAAAAACGCGCTAGCACCCTGGGGTTCCGCTTGCAGGGGTGACCCCAGTTGTGCCAGCAGCTAAACCAAACCCTGAAGATGCCGGAGACAGAGGGGCCCCACCCCAGCACCACCTCCGGCAGGAGATACGGAGAAACCAAGAAGAAAGCGTATTTTCGAGATCCTTTTTCTCCTCCAAGTCAGTCGACCGGGACCCCACTCCCCAGCCGTCAGCCCCACCCAAGCCTCCGGGTGCTGGTCTCAGGGAGCGGAGCCCCAGGGCAGCAGTCCTCGGGCCTGGCCGTCTGCAGTGCCCAGCTCTGTCCTGGCGCAGCAGCCCAGGCCGGCCGGGCCTGTGCAGGTGGTGAGGGCCGAGGGCGGGGCCCAGAGGACGGGCGGCAGCCGCGGGTGCTCCTCTGCCCACACCCCTCTGGCACCCCACAGCAGCCTGTCCCGCATTCAGGCAGGATCTGGGACCCAGGACCCCGCCTGCTGAGGGGGCCCTCACCCGACACCGGCGTCCAAGGCCGGCACCAGCACTGACCCCCCACCTGGGAGGGAGGGTCTCGGCCTGGGGTGGTCACCGCCCGGGCTTGTGCCGGGAAGCACCTACCGAAGGCCAAAGCCAGCACACCCTGGGTCCTAACTGCACACCCTTGGACACTCCCTGCTCCACCCCACAGGCCAGGGCACAGCACTGGCCTTTCTGATCAAAACTGGAATGTGGGGTCACCACGATAGAAGGGCCTTGGGGGTCCAGCCCTCCAGGGCTCAGACAGAGCCACATACAGATGAGCATGCTGGGGCTCTGAGGGCCAGCCAGTGACCCACACGTCCACCGTGACACGGTCCCTCCTGGCCAGCTGAGCCCACAACCCAACGGCACCCCTGCCCCCAGGAACAGCTTGTCCTCACACAGGATTCCGCACCCAGGAAGGTCCCAGCTCAGGGCTCAGAAATGCCTCTGGGCTGAGCTTGGGCCAGAGGGGCCTCAGACGCAGCCAGCCAGGCCCACGGCGCGACAGGAAACCGCAGCTGGGTGGGAGGGTCAGGATTCAGAAGGGCGTTCACCGCAGGAGCAAGGGCCAGAGCCTGGAGCTGCGGCCGTGAGGTGGAGGCCATCGGGCCCAGCCCCCGTCCCGAGCGAGCTTCCCCGCGCCACCTGGGGACAGATCAAGGACACTGTGACCCTGCCCTGGGAGCCAGGTGCTCAGGTCCAGGCCTTCCCACGGGGTAAGTCCAGGCTCCAGGCGGCGCCTGGTGTCCCCACCTCTGTGGCCGTGAGATGGCCAGTGTGGCCTGCAGGAGGCTTCAGGGCAGGGCCGAGGGCTCCTGGTCCACCCTCCGTGCCACCGGCCCGCCGCGGGGCTGGGAGTGCGTGGCCCGAGCCCAGCAGAGGGCAGGCCCCTCCCGCGGTGGCCAAGACAAGGGCCCCGGCAGCCGCTAGCCAGCAGGCCTGCGCTCCCCTGCAGGACACACACCCCCACCACGGCCTCCAGCCCCGCCCAGCCCGGGGGCCGGGCAGGCCG